TGTTATTACCATCCGCAAAATGTTTGATGCACTTAAATAGGCTTGCTTTCTCCAAAACTAATAAATTTTAACTAGCTTTCTTTTATACATGTGGCATGTGCCTGAAAAGCAAGCCATGTGTAGTTGAATACCTTTGCTTGCATGCCTTATGGTTGGCAACTACAAGAAAGTTCTGAAGCAGGTTGATAGCTGAACTTATATGTTGCTGCTTGTCATTCGTAATGATAAGTGTCTGGGTATGGCTTTCTATGATTTAGCAGTATATAGGCGAGCATGCACACGTTTATGGATGTACTTGAACCAGATACTTTGGAGACTGTTGAGCCATTATTGCTACTTAAGTTTGACATCGTGTTTGCCATTAACATAATAGTTAATTTTCTTCTACAACTTACTAGTGTATGAATTTCGTCTTCTATCCATCTGGCTAATGTATTGCTACTAAGTAGGTTGGAGAGTTGGAATCCCAGATCGATAATTTTGAAGCTGAGATTGAGGGTCTATCAGTTAAAAAAGGGAAGACAAGGCCGCCCAGATTGGTAAGAATGAAGGAAAAACTCTTGAGTGTGGTGACTTCTTTCTTGTCTGTGGTGTATTATTTTTTATTTTATTTCCTCTTTACCTCCTCTTTCAGATACATCTAGAGACATCCATCACTAGACACAAGTCCCATATAAAGAAGTTAGAGGGGATCTTGAGGCTCCTGGACAATGATGAATTGAGTCCAGAGCAGGTCAATGATGTCAAAGACTTCTTGGAGGATTATGTAGAGCGTAATCAGGTTCTTGTTACTCCAGATCTGGTTGTTTCTTCACTATCGTTATTGTATGATGTAATGTTTATATAGCCTGTGCATTGTTTAGAGAATCTATTTTTATGGTACTCTTCAATTTTTTTCTATTTCATGTGTTCTTTTATAATCTTTTTATTGTAAAAAATGATTCTTTAGTTGGTATTATTCATGTTTTTCCTTCGGATATTTGTGCTACTTAAGTTGCTTTTAATTTTTTTTCTTTTGTAGGATGATTTCGATGAATTTAGTGATGTGGATGAGCTCTATAGCTCATTACCATTAGACAAGGTGGAGTCTCTTGAAGAACTTGTTAACATTGGCCCTCCTGGTCTCGTGAAGGTACTTTTCCTAACACTGTATCTCTTCCTGATTCTTGTAGTATGGTTGAGTTCAGAAAATAATAATTGTGCTTCATTTTTTTTTCAATTTCTTGTTCTAATTTCTCTTTTCCTTTGGGTGGGTTTGTGAGATGTTAGAAAGTAACATATGGTGAAGCTTTTCTTTCTAGAGTTATTAATCAGTTATTTGCCTTACTGCTTTCTCACTTCAAAATTCTGATTTGCAACTTCTTATATATTATTGGTTCACGTGTGATCTGTGGGGATATTATCTGCAAAGTTCTGGTTGATGCTTGCGTCCATTTTTTATGCTCAATGTCATAAGCATTCAACGTTGAGAGACTTGTTTGCTTTCTGAAACTAGAATCATGCTCCTATTGATGGGTGTGAAATTGTCAACTGTTGCCCAGAGTTGAATTGGCTGATAATCTAACTAGATTTATGGTTGGTGTGAAGTTTACTTTTACTTGTATCAATTCTCTGATAACAAACTGATAAGGTATGCAATCAGCATGTAATTAGACTTTGTTTTTTTCTTTTATAGTTATAGCTTGCAATCCATGTGGTATAGTTGATCAATGGGTAAAAAGGATGTGTAACCAACCCTTAGTAGGGTTGAGTGAGTTGTTTAGGCATGAGTGATTGTTTCTTTGATTAATGTATTATATAATACCTGTTTCTTCATCGAGATGTGGTGTGAAGGCTTTTGATTAGGCTCTTTGACATCTTTAGTGCAAGTTGGTTTGTGGTTTGTTTTTTTTTTTTGGTTGGAAAAGAATGCTAATCTTTAAGGATCAATTCCATTCTGTTGTTAGCTTTGGGAACAATTAGGTTTTTTGGCTGCCTTTTGGGTTA